CCAGCCAAGGCTGGTGTGAGATATTCTGACACATCAAGAGATTTTTATCTCATCACCCCAATAGAGTACTGGCTGCCCTTTTAAAGCAGCTGATCCCCAACTGAGTGTTCTTCAGAGGCGCCAGTTGACAAATCTTGTCATTGCAATAACTAATGGCCATCTCAATTTTTGGAGGGTTCCAGATCAAGAAAAGCTGTCTTAGAGGAACGGAAGGCTTTGCTGGCCCCATTTTTGCTGTCCTTCTGCAAGCGGGCAAAGACCTTTATCTTCAGGCAAGCTTTCCCTCAGTTCCCTGAGTGAGATGTTTAGACGGATTGTTATGCATTACTGCTTGGACTGAGTTTTTAATATTGTTTGTATTTACCATTTCTTAGAATGGCATTTCTATGTTCCTTTCAATATTTGTATACTTAGGTAAAGGTAAAGGTTCCCCTTGACATTTAGTCCAGTCGTGTCTGACTCTAGGGCGTGGTGCTCATCCCCGTCTCCAAGCCGTAGAGCCAGCGTTTGTCTGTAGACAGTTTCCATGGTCACCGTGGTCACGTGGCCAGCGCAGCTAGACACAGAATGCCGTGACCTTCCCACCGTGGTGGTACCTATTTATCTACTCACATTTACATGCTTTCGAACTGCTAGGTTGGCAGGAGCTGGGACAAGCAACAGAAGCTCCCTCCGTCGCGTGGATTCCATCTTAGGACTACTGGTCTTCTGACTCTGCAGCGCAGAGGCTTCTGCAGTTTAACCTGCAGCGCCACCACGTCCCTCATATTTGTATACTGTACTTATTTAGCTTTGAATATTGGGTTTTAGTGATGTAAGCCACCTTTGTATACTCATTGTTTTTAACTGTAAATATTGTCTTTCAGTGAAAGTAAGCCGTCTTTAAGAAGAAAGGTGGGGTAAAAATATTTTAAATAACTAACTAAATAAATAAATGACAAGGCTGAATTTGATACGTGTTGTGTATCTACATGGGGTCAGGAAGAGTCGGACACGACTTAATGACTAAACAACAAAGTGTATCTACCCAGCAGTTTGGTACCACTCTTAAATGCCATGGCTCCATCTTGTGGAATCCTGGAATTTCTGTTCTGGTAGCGTAATTAGCCTTATTTGCTGTCATCTCTCTAGTGGGGAATGTGCCAGAGAGCTTCCTATCAGCTAAATCTAAATTCCTCACCAAGGTACAGAGGATCTATTCTTTTATAGTTTAGGCTCCACATTCAATTCACAGATACAGTACAACAAATTTGTCCCTCTGAATTGTACACATCTGAAGCCCCAAATAAGATTGCTAAAATTAGGTGTGATCAGATTGGTTTAGTGGCTCCACCTGTCACATTATAGAACTCTATGCCAAGGGAAACCAGCTTTGCTCCCTCTCTGTTGTCCCTCGCTCAAACCAGTAAAGACATTTTTTATTCAGCTAGACTTTGGCGACCCAACTCCGGGATGCAGTGGAAGATAGGAGGGCCTGGCGTGCTCTGGTCCATGGGGTCACGAAGAGTCGGACACGACTAAACGGCTAAACGAATGAACGATGCCAAGGGAAACCAGCTTTGCTCCTTCTCTGTTGTCCCTCGCTCAAACCAGTAAAGACATTTTTTATTCAGCTAGACTTTGGCATATAGGTTGGTCTGTGGCTGAAGGGATTCTAATTGCTTAGATGCTAGTTTATATTTTCGATTGCATTTTTAATTTTTATGATATGTATTAATTAAGGTTTTGTTTCAAACGTGCATGTTATTGGTTTCATTTTGAGTGCCCTTTTTGGTGGAAAGGCAGGCTGTGAAGAAAATAAACAGATATTTGTTTTAGGAGTATGCACAATTGTTCAAAGTGACACATTGTGTTTCCAACTGTTACACATTTCAGCTACATATTCGAACTGGGCAGGTTGTCTTTATCTCTGGCGCCACAGAGGGAACAATCTAGGATATGGAACAACATTCCAAGTGGATTTGGAATCTAAAAACTACGAGGTTTTTTTGCAAATATATGAACAATTGGGTCTACCTGAAGACGGTGGGAGATAAGCGGATGGTTTGAGAGTCCAGGGTTCTCAAAGCTTGGAAAGAATTTGTTAAAAATTAATCTGCTGCCTCTAATTGATTAACATTTCAACTGTGATTTTAAAAGTCATTATTAAGTCATTAAATGCTGACACCATTAAGAAGCTGGGAAACGATTAACAGGCTGATTTAACTTGTATCACAATCCTTTTGTTTTATGATGTCTTCCGGGCACAGAGAAGGCCTGGCTTTATCTCCAAAGAGATGGCATCAGAGATGGTTGAGCAGAAGCTAGTAAGTAATGGTTGTGGCATGTAAAATTTGAGAGAGTTGTAGAAGTGCTGCACGTAATAAAAATATATTTCCTTTGCAGGCATTTTTCTCTACCTTAAACAGCCACACCCACTTAGCACAACCTGATCCTACTGTTGGTTGTGCCACACTCATGCAAACACACACATGCACACAGAGATTGTGTCAGACACTTGATGACTTGCATAAGTTCAATTTGTGACTAAAGCCATGCCAACATGCACTCCTACTCCAAGGGATGTTCCTGAAAAAGAGCACCCCCTACCCACTCAAGGAAAGCTGTGCAAGTATCGTAAGCCAGTCCAATAAATCTGGACTAAGAGACAGAAAGTACCCTCAAGCATCTCTCTGTACCTCTTTTCAACATCCTATTTGTATGGGGAGACTATTGTGCCTTGGTACTGATGAGAGGTCCTTACTGTGCTCTGAGTTTCAAAAGAGTTTTTTCTGGGATCACATCATGGAAAGAAAGGGTTTTTAAAAACTCTCCATTGTGTCTTCTTGGGAGACGTTGAGAACAACAGAGACCTTTGATAGCACAAGACAAGTTGTACGGAACACACCAGCCGTTCAGGGATTATTCATCGCTCCCTGCCTCCCAGCACCTACTGCCTAATAAGTACAACACACCAGCCGTTCAGGGATTATTCATCCCAGCACCTACTGCCTAATAAGTACCTGCTTCACTCTGCCTATTGATAGGGCTGGCCATGGATTGCACTAAACACGGTGTAAAAGAAATTTAGAAATGTGGTTTCCTTCAGTATCAAGCTGCACTTGAGCGCAAACTTGTTTAGACCAATGGTAGAAGAACTTTGCAAAGTAGAGGAGGGTCACCAGAAACACCTTCTTACACTCCCTTCCCTGCTTATGTGACAATAGAACCCAACACCTTTACAGTCCAAGCTCTGTTGCCCACCACGTAGGGTGGCAGAAAACTGCAGTGGGAGAGAGAGCTTTTGTGTGGCCTTCTCCCTTGTGGAACTTTTTGCCGGAAAAACTCTGGTCTTGCCAAACACTTATCGTTATCCCACACACTACACCAGAACACAGGCAGAGTTCTTACTCCTGTCCTCTGAAGAGGCCGGCCACAAAGACTGGCGAAACGTTAGGAAGAAAAACCTCCAGAACACGGCCAAACAGCCTGAAAAACCTACAACAGCCATCGGATCCTGGCCGTGAAAGCCTTTGAGAATACATTCATCATTTTCCTTTGCCTTTATTGGTGATTCTTCTCACTATGCTTGTACAATCTTTTGCATCCTCACTCAATCGGCAGTTTAGTAATTTAACTCTGATTGCCTCCTATAGGAAACCCAGTTACAAATCATCCATGTTCCAGGTTTTTTCCCGTGGTTAAATTTAAGGGTTGTAAGGTACCATAGAGCCTTATTGACATATACAGTAGCACCTCCTTGTGGTGGTTGCTGTGTAGCATGAACTAGATCTCATGCGTGAAAAATCCAATGACCTTCTTAAAAGGACTTCCTTTTCTGAATTCCTGGCTTCAGTCCACAGGCTCTGCCAAAAGTGTGGAGATATGTAACTACAAGAGGGAGGGGAAGAGCCAGGACTGGAGGCATTTAAGAGAAAGTTGATCATTGCCTGTCAGATATACTTTGATTTGGATTCCTGCATTAAGCGGGGGGGGGGGTTGGACTCTATAGCTCTATAGACCCTTTCCAATTTCATAATTTTATAATTCTCTGATCGGAGACAAAATGGATGAGGGGATATGTAAGGGTAACAACAGTAAGTCCATGAGGACAGCATGTGTGACAGGGTGATTATGTAGCGTGGACTTGTGTTTCTTAATGGAACCTGGCATGAAATAGTAGTGGCATCTGGCAGGGCTCTGCTGCTTTGGCATGATGGCCTCAAAGGGAAGTTAATGCAAATATAAATACTCTAAGAAGTGATTTGATCATATTGCTTGGTTCTGTTCACTGACCTTGAGATCTTCCCTTGGAGATCCTGAGAAGGAGGCCACACATTAAAACAGCCATGTGGACACAAGACCTTTGATCTTTGCAGGGCAGAAAGCTTCATGGAAACCTCCTACATCCATTAGGAAAAGAGTTGGGTAGAGCTTAACTAAAGGTAGGATTCAGTGAAATATTTATCTACGTACATATTAACACCAATATAATGTAGTGAATAGAGTATCACACTAAAATTCAGGGTTCAAATGCCCGCTTGACTGTGGAAAACTCACTGAGAAGTAGTAATAGTAAATCCACTCAGGGTATCTCCCATACTTTGGAGACCTACTGTACTAGCATCTCCATAAGTTAGAATCAGCTTGGTGGCACACAATACACCTTTAACGGCCTCTTAGTTCATCTTCAGTGCCTGGGACTTAACCTTGGAAGGCGTCAAGCACCTGAGAGCATGCGCACACTCATTCTGAGCATGGCGTGACCATAAGTTGTCTGGCTGCCAATCTCTTGTCTTGCTAGGCAGCTGTGAAAAGGAACAGAACGTCAAAAGGTGGCAAAATCCAACCCCAGATGACTGGAAATTGCCCTTTCCTGCATCACCCCCACCATTGCTCCCAACCTAAAGCTTCATCTTACTACACTTCCAGTTAATCGCACATCCATCCCATGACTGAGTTTGTTATTAACCACCCATATAAGCCTCTCTCCTGAGGAACTGTCCCAGAGAGGCCTCTGGCTTTGCCCACTTGGTCTGCGCACAGTTCAGAGTTGAAGGCATCATGGAGCAGGAATCACCACCCCTCAGGCCCCAGAGGGCGGCTATCAGCAACCCAGCAGACATTTCTGTCATCTGCGCCTATTTCGTCGCGGTCATTGCAGTTGGGCTATGGGTATGTACAGAGCGAAGGATGCACTTTGGAGATCAACATTTTCCCCGGATTAGGAAGGGGGCTTTGTTCCTTGCTCAGAAAGGTGGAGACTGGGCCACTGGGAATGCTGGTTTGGGGACTCTGTTATTTTTCCGGATTAAAGTAGGTTCTCCAAACTCTGAAACTGGGGAGAAGCAGAATTAGCATTTGCAGCCAAAATGTGGCTCACGCAAAGCCAAGCAGAGTTATATGACTTAGTGGCACCAGAACTAAATATTTTAATCAATCAATTAATCAATGAGATCCTTATTATGTCCTATAAAAATTTCCATGTGAATTTAGCAGAGGGCAGTCAAGAAAACTCAAAAATCTTAGAAGATGATCAACAAAAGTAGCATAAAAATCAGCCTCATCTGGGAATTAAAAGGCTACAGAATTAAAGTGGGGTTCACAAGGTGATGAAAGGATAGCAAAAGTTGTCAGTTATGGAAATCTTTATTAATTTGAGCTTTGCAATATCCATTCCTCTTTTAAGAAAGCATTAAAACCATATTTTTCAAATCTGCCTTTGCTGGTTAGACAATTAATATGCACATTCTATTGTACCACTTTCCTTAATTCTGATAATGTTGTTTTTGTAAATTCAGATATTGGGGCCAATATTTGTATTATGCATAAGCCATTTCAGAAGGATCTGTTTCTGAAAAACATGATACAAATATGGATTGAATAAAGTAGGCAGCAGGTGAATCCCTCTTGGGACAGAAGTCTCCAACTTGCTAATAAGAAGACCCTCCCCATTTCTTTTTGGTTGTTACCTGACTTTGATTGAGTTTCCAAAGACCAGGGGACCGAGAATACTTACTTTTAAAAAAGATAATTCATAGACTTTTAAAATCACCTAATTTGGTATCAATAGTTATACCATGCCTTTTTGTCTTCCCTTACATGCCAGATCCATATCATTTAAGGTTGTGAGGAAAACTTGTATATTTCCTCAAATATACCTTCGAAAAGAGGGTCAATTAATGGGATATTTTACACTCCTGCACAAAAGCAGAAAGACCAGCACTTACTTCATCATAAATCTTATGCTTTAGGGAATTGGCATAGTGAGACTAGCTCACCTTCCCCAGTGTTATTATCCCAATTCGAACCAACTGCTTGAAGGGAAATAAGAATCGGATTACAGATTTCCATTGTCGTGTTTTGACATGCTAATTTTATTTTTCCCCACACTCAAACCGTAGAACCCAAATTTTTGAAACCTAATGCTCAAATGTTGGCCTGATTGGAGAACCCACTAACAGAAGTATTAGTCTTGAGAATGAGAGAGTGAACTACAAAGAATAAGCCAGAAATAATGGAAAGCCAATTTTTTGGACCCTACTTAAGTCACGGAAACTCACTGTGGGAGCGGAACTGGTAAAACTGCTCCTTAAATATCTCAATTACCTTGAGAGCCCTGTTAGGGTTGCTATACATTGTTCTGACTTGACAGCATGTAACAACAACTTCTGATTTTTCACCACTTGACTTTTTATTCATTCAAGCCTTTTGTTGTTGTTGTTTAGTTGTTAAGTCATGTCCAACTCTTCGTGACCCATGGACCAGAGCACGCCAGGCCCTCCTGTCTTACACTGCCTCCTGGAGTTGGGTCAAATTCATGTTGGTAGCTTTGATGACACTGTCCCACCATCTTGTCCTCTGTCGTCCCCTTCTCCTCTTGCCTTCACCCTTTCCCAACATCAGGGTCTTTTCCAGGGAGTCTTCTCTTCCCATGAGATGGCCAAAGTATTGGAGCCTCAGCTTCAGGATCTGCCCTTGCAGCGAGCACTCAGGGTTGATTTCCTTCACAATGGATAAGTTTGTTCTCCTTGCAGTTCAGGGGACTCTCAAGAGTCTCCTCCAGCACCACAATTTAAAAGCATCAATTCTTCGGTGGCCAGCCTTCTTTATGGTCCAGCTCTCACTTCCATACATCACTACTGGAAAAACTATAGCTTTAACTATGTGGCCCTTTGTCGGCAAGGTGATGTCTCTGCTTTTTAAGACAAACCTGTCATCGCTTTCCTCCCAAGAAAAGCCTTTTAACCACTTCTTAAATTCTTGTAATTCAAATACAGGCTTTCTTCTGAGCTACTAATGGTTTTGTGCTATCTCTTATTAGAGATAGTGCTTTTAATGCTGCACTCTTATGGTTTCTCATTGTTTCTAATGACTGTATTTTGAATGTTTAACTTTTTATTTTGCTATTCAGTACAGAGTCAGAATTTAGAAAAGAAGTATGAACACCTAGAGAATTTTTAAAACAACTTACCCTCTTCATATACTAACCTTCCCCTAAAATACAGGTGATAAGTACACATAATCATTTCAAGAAAGGGGTGTGTGTACTCAAAAGTTATTTGCATGTTATTGCTATTAACCAAATTATAGAAAGAATATATGCAGAATCTGCATACAGTTGAGGAATCTAGAACTAAAACGCTGCACCAAGACCTTTCTTTATCTCCCTTCCATAGGGGTCCCCTGCCTCACATACTGGCAGAAAGCCCCTGTCCCTGTGCATGCCTTCTGTTGTTTTCCACTATTCTTTACTGTCTTTTCTCTTTGATCCCAGGGCTCATCACTTCACAAGGGTTAATTATTATCAACACTAGCACCGTTCAGGAATGTCCTAGCAGGTGGTAATGAGTGTAAAATTAAACAGATTAACAACTGGACAAACTGTTCCCTAAAGGGGGGAGTTTCCAAAGATTTTGTGCAGGGAATCTGTCTGGATCTTTCCTCGCCAACATAAAAAGGCCATGTAATAATTCCACTAATATATTGATTACTCTAAGGAGTGCTCAGGGAATGTAATCCCCTGCAGGCACAAACCAGTGGGACCAGCAACCCCTGGACTAATATGCGGGCTTGGAATGTCTTAATCTTTCAGATGTCCATGCAAATCACTCTAATCAGATTGTCCAAAGGCTGTCTTGTGAAAACATTTGTCCATCTTGTTTTATGAGTAATAGCTGCTACCTATAGTTAGAAACCATAGCTCATATGCAGGCATTTAAGATCTGGTTGAAACTGCCCCTTGGAAGGGATAAGAGCTGACATTGCGCTGTCTCTCCAGAGAAAATGATGTGCACACCAGGATATTGTGGTGGCAACTATCCTTTTGAGCTTCCTGGAGTAGTGATTTCTTCTCTGGAACTGGCCATGCTGGTCAGAGGATTCCAGAAGTGGCAGTATTTAAAACAGAAATGTTATTTATGCTCTGATTTTCTCCAGTAACTCTGTTGGTTTCTGTCTTGGAATATTTCATACCTGAGGGGCAGTTAGCTGGACCTGTGCATTTTTAAATTTGTTACTAAAAAAAGAGAAGTTATCATCCTTTTCTACAAAGAAAATTCCACACTGGTTATTCCAGAGTGAATATTTGGGCAGCAGAACCTAATTCTGATTTAATCCTGCACATGCTCAAAGTGTTTCTTTTCGGTTCTTTGTAGTAACACAACGGGAGTGTAGAAGTAGATGTAAAACACCACACGGCAGAGTTGGAGAAAGAAATATATTAATCGGGTTTCCAGCAGAAGTAATAGGCATGAATATCAATTGGCCACGACTACAGCTGCTGAATTCAGCAGCAAGGAAGTTATAGACCTCTGCATTTTCACATCAAAACAAGGTGCATGAGGAATGTGCACCTTGTTTTAGAGGAGAAGCATGCTGTCCAGAAAGTACAGCTCTCACCGGAAACAAGATATAAGGTCCCTGTGTGCCTTGTTGTAGCATGGAAATGTTGTGAACTCGAATATCTCACCAGATACCTCTGCCTGCTGTTGTGTGTCCAAAAGTTAGAGGCTCCATACTTTATTGAAGAAAAGAGATGGAACAGTCTTATTTACAAACATGCAACAGAGCAGAAACCCAAAATGAAATTAGACTGGTTTAGCCATTTATAATCACACCATCTTTACTCTCTTTCACTCTTGGCTCACAGTCCATGTGTCGAACCAACCGAGGCACTGTCGGAGGATATTTCTTGGCTGGTAGGAACATGGTGTGGTGGCCGGTGAGTAACAGTGGAGAAGGCACACCTTTTTCAAGGGAAATGGGGGGAGACAAGATAGCAGGCTCCAAACAGTAGAAATGGAGGAAAGAGATGGGTGGGAATAAGATCACTCAGAAGACAAATTTAAGGACAGAATGTGAAACAAGAGAAAGTCTCAGGAGTGTGAAGATGGAAAAAGTAAGAAAAGGGAAGGTCTGTGTGTGAGAAGTAAGATGAGGATGGACAAGGGGGTAAAAACAGAATAGAGACATAAAAGATGTAGGATTCTGGTGAATTCTGAAACAAAACAGAAATGGTGGGTGCCAAGGTCAAGATTCTAGCATCCAGTATTGTGGCTAGAGCTGGCTCGATAGCTCAGTCATTTAGTATCTGGCTGTGGAGCCAGAGGTTGGCAGTTCGATTCCCTACTGTGCCTGCTGAGGTAAGATCCAGCCATTGTAGCCACGGGAGAGTCGCAGGATGGAAGAAGGGAATGATGAACCGCTTCTGAGTAATTCTCAGAACTGAAAACGTTGAAAAGAGTCACCACAAGCCAGAATTGACTTGAGGGCACATCATCATTACTGTGGTTTGGGGTTCTGGAAAAGCCATTGTGTTGCCTTATTCTTCCCTGGCACTTCTTATGCCCACAGATTGGCGCCTCTCTCTTTGCCAGCAACATCGGGAGCGGGCACTTTGTGGGCTTGGCAGGCACCGGTGCAGCTAACGGCCTGGCGGTGGCAGGATTCGAGTGGAATGTAAGCCCTGGCCTGAAAGGTGTCTCTTTCTTTCAGAGGGGATGCAGCATGTAGGTAGGATGGTGGGATGTAGGAAGAGAAGATTCCTTCTAGTTTGGCGAATGGAGACCAGAATTACAATAGCACGGCACCTTAAATTAGTGCTTATTTCAGCACTAATTACGGATCAAACCAAACTAAACAGAGGAATTCACAACCCCTCTGGTGAAAAACAGGATTTCCTCTGAGATATTGGCCTGACCCTTGAGGCTTGCAAATTAAGTCCATGCCCATTAACTTCCACTGATGGACAGCAAAACCAAACATTTAAGGTACGCCAGTGAGGAAAGCCAAATACTATGACAAATAGATGTCATTTGGCCACTCAAGAAAGCAACCCTTCTAAAAATGTAGATTGGCCCTTAAAATAAGAATCAGACTTGATGAAGATCCCTTACAACTTTCTACAGATATTCAACAGGTGCTGCTTAAATTCAGTGGCGGAGTAAAACCTTGCCTGTCAAATTTCCTACCTGCCACATAAATGACACAGAAACACGGACATCAACTTTTCTGTTATTGTTAGCTTAAACCATCTCATTTTTTATTCCATTTCTTTTTCCTCAGGCACTCTACATTGTCCTCCTCCTTGGGTGGCTGTTTGTCCCCGTGTACCTCACGGCTGGGGTGAGAAGTGATTTTTTTTTCACCCTTCACTATATTTATCTTTCATGACATTGTGATCACTCTCAAGGCACCCAAGACAGTTATAGGGTTCTTCCCATCCTTTCCCCTTCATAACAACCCCACAGGCTGAGATGTCAGTGCTAGTCTAAGATTACCGTAGGCTTCATGCTGTAAAGGAATCTGAACTCAGATCTCTGAGACCTAAATCTAACAATCTAACGTAGGGGTGGACATAAGAAGCCACACCGTGGGACCCTCTGGGGGGCCACACGGACAGCCAACAAGCAAGCAAAACAAAACCTCCAAAAACAGAATCTGAGAAGGCTGAACTCCTCTCCCAAGTTCAGGAAATACAGGTTGTTTCTGGGGGAGCTTGCAAAATTGCACAATGGGGAGGGGAAGGGGATTATTTCCCTCCTGCCAGCACTTAACTCTTTTTCCTTTGCTATCTATCATTTATTATATTTTGCACTGTTTTTTATTATTGATTATGTTAATGGCTTTGTATTTTTTTAATGAGTATATGTCTGTTGGTAGCTGCCCAGAGTGGTAGAATATACCAGATGGGTGGGATATAAATCAAATAAATCAAATAAATAAATAAATAAAGGCCTTGCCACTTCTGCAAGATTTCAAGAGTGGCAACTTTTTTTTAATGCTTGAAGAAGAGGAGGCTGGGTTAAGCGAAGACCACACAAAAACACTTGAGACACATTTTCGCCCACCTCCGTTCTAATGTGCTCCATAGGCATATGAAAACTGGACGGTGTGGTGGAGGGGATGACAACAGCTTTACCGAGGGTGTGATCCCATGGAGAAATAGATCGCAATTTGGACCGCTTGTGGAGCAGTCCAGTGCAATTTATTACATGTAGTGATCCCACGACGCAGAAGGAAATGTTCTTCAGCCCAACCCCAATCTTCGCTCCAATGGCACCTTTTTGGTTCAGCTGTAGGGCTTCTACTTTTGAGGGACAAGCTGAAGCAATTCCCTGGCAGGCAAAAGGGTTGCTTTAAGGGAGATTGCTCCTGTTAAAGCAACCCTTTCTGGAGCTGGACAGCCTTTGAAGCTGTCTGATCACACCCCCAACGTTATAGATGCAAAGGGGAGGGCCCAGACAGGAATTGCAGTCAAGTCTAGATTAGGAATGAAAGAGGCAGCCACTGGGTTCTCTGGGAAGATAGATGGGAACCCGCAAAAATATGGGCCATGAACTGGACTAATTGTTATCAGGATCCCTTTTTCAATTGTATCGGACTGGATTAAAATGCTGCAGTGGATCAAGCCTGATTAAGTCCATCAAAACATGAGGCTTTTTGGACTGTTTCTCCCAGAAGAGAATAGGACTAGTCATGCTGGTTGGAGATGCTGAGAGTCGCAGTCCAAAATAAGTGACCTATCCAGGCTCTGACCGGGAGCACAAGTTGCTTTGTTCTTGTTGTCTTTAAACAAAGCAGACACACCCAAAGGGAGCTCCAGATTTGATTAAAGCAGTAGTGTTCTTGAAAAGGAGTCTTCTTCATTTTTCTATTCTGTTGACTGACAAATTAGATTTGTATCTCACTTTTCTTCCAATGAATCTTAAGTGGGATACATGGCTCTCCTCTCCATTTGACATTCACAGCAGTCATGTGTGGCTGATCCTCCAGTCACTCTGGCGTCGTTCACCCTAAGATCGCACTCTGGCTGAAATAACACTTACATTGTGCTGCAATGTTCACTGCTTGCTGCCTCAGCAACACATGGTGCACACACTCCTGTGTGGCAAGATTCTAGCCAGTGAGTTTCACATCTTTCCAAAGCCATAAGTAACCCCATAAGATGTGAAAGAGAGGGTACCTGTACTTCATCCCCATAACTCACAGTTCTCCCCCTTCTGCAACACAACACAAAAGCATTTTCTACCTCCAGTAATTGGCTTTGTTTATTGTATCTCAGGACTGCCATTATTCTATCCACCCTACTCTATGTGGGGAGTTCTGTGGGTGGATTTGTGACCCTTTACGTCAGAGTTTATTTGCCACCTTTAATAAAAGGTACTGTCTGCAAGGAACACATGATGCTAAAAGTTACATACATTATTGTGCACAGAGTGCTTTACATTTGAGTCTTTGGCTTGTGGTTTCAGTTGAGATAGCCCTGATGGCAATGCATTCTAAATACTACCCACATTTTTTTAACAATTCCATCTTTCTCTCTGTTTCCCCCATCCTACCCCTGCACAGGTTATCACAATGCCACAGTACCTGAAGAAACGCTTTGGAGGCCGACGAATTCGTCTCTACCTCTCCGTCCTCTCTCTTTTTATGTATATCTTCACCAAAATCTCAGTATGTCATTACTCTGCGCCTCAGAAATAGGAGGCAGGTTAAAATGGGAAGATGAGGGTGGAACCTCTTCCATGGTAGGAGAAAAAGATGCTATCTTAACGGTGCCTAGAATCTAGTGTGGGAACTCCATCACCAGCAAAGCCTGAAAATGTTGCCTGGGGGAGTATAACTCTTAAAGTACCCAGTGTGTAACAGTGAAGAGGGTGATGGAGTAGGACTCAGATGAGGGTTCAAATCCCCCCTCAGGCATGGAAACTCACTGGGAAGGATGGAACTGGTAAAAACCGCTCCTTTAAATTTCTCACTTGACTTGAAAGCCCTATCACCATTGCTAGAAGCCAGTTCTGACATGATAGTACATAAAATAACAACCCTCAGAACCCCTTCGGCCAGCAGTTTATGGGGCTGTAGGATAGAATGTCTTACCTAGGTACCATGATTACCTCAGTGCCAAATTGTGACTAATTCCCTGCCGAATCGTGCCTCTTCTTGCTCTCTGGCCTGCTGAGCATGTTCTCTTCCTCTGCAGGTGGACATGTTCTCAGGAGCCGTCTTTATCCAGCAAGCCTTGGGCTGGAATATTTATGTGGCTGTCATAGCCCTCCTGATCATAACCACCATTTACACAGTGACAGGTAAACAAGGGGTTAAACGGGTCTTTGGGGTGAGGGGAGGACAGGCTGGTTGGGTGCCCAACAGGAAGCCGGAACTGATACAATAGGGAATCAGGTTGCCAAGTGACTGGGGAAGGGGAGACAGGGCGGACAGGGTGACCTGCCATTCTTGTTTGATAGAAGCTCGATAAGGGTAATACTTTTTGTGACAAGGTGGTAAAGAGAAAGAAACGTCTCGACACCTACTAATGGCTGCAGGTCTGACTTCCTAAGAGAGCAACCAAGGCTGCTTCATAAGTTGGCAACCCCACATATAGAGTGATGTGAGTGTGCGCATGTGCACATGCATGCATGTGTGTGTGTGTGTGTGAGAGAGAGAGAGAGAGAGGGAGGGAGGGAGGGAGACAGAAAGAGAGGATTTAGTAGGCATAATGTAAGCAAAAGGTAAAGGTTCCCCTTGACATTTTGTCCAGTCATGTCCAACTCTAGGGCGCGGTGCTCATCTCCGTTTCCAACCCATAGAGCTAGCGTTTGTCCGCAGAGAATCCTCCGTGGTCACGTGGCCAGCGTGACTAGACACGGAACGCCATTTACCTTCCCACCGAGGTGGTACCTATTTATCTACTTGCATTTTGCATGTTTTAGAACTGTTAGGTTGGCGGGAGCTGGGACAAGTGATGGGGGCTCACTCCGTCACGTGGATTCGATCTTACGACTGCAGGTCTTCTGACCTTGCAGCACAGAGGCTTCTGCGGTTTAACCCAAAGCGCCACCACATCCCTAGTATAAGTAATGATTATGAAATTAGAGGATGGGGCTTGAGTAATGTTTTCTCTTTATTATTTATCACAAATGGGGGGGACACAATAATGTGGAGTGGTCCTAATGAGAAATGGGTGCAGCAGTTCACCTGGTTCATTTACCGCTGCAACAGGTGCTTGATGGTTTGGCATCCCACCCCCTCTGGCCGACGGCCACTCAGAGGCCGCGCCCGGAGGAGGCAGGGCAGAGAAGCCAGGACTCGGCCTCTGAAGGGGGACCTACTACCGAACCGGCAGTTTGCGCCCATCTCTACTCCGCATGAATATTCCATTCAATTTCCATTTTCAGCATACCCTATTCTATACCTGTTCCCTCTATTTTCTACCCACGTTCCCCCAATATTCAACATGCTGTGAACACTGACCGTGCACTTCTGATTGGGTTGCTTAGGACCCCACTCTCAACCGTGTGAGCCAGTGCAGTATAGCGGGCAGAGTGAGAGCATAAGACCTGGGAGACCAGGCTTCCAGTCCTTATTTAGCTATGGAAACACACTGGGGGTGGGATGATAAAAACACTCCTTAAGTATATCATATGCCCTGAAATCCTTATCAAGGTCACTATAAAGTCAGATGTAACTTGACAGTATGTAATATACCCAACATTGAGCTTGCCCTCCTAATGATCTTTTACCTTTTGTAAATCTTTGGGTTTTCTGAGCATGGTGAGTATGTAAGTGTCATTGGGTAATCAATGACACTCATGCCTGAACACCAGAAATAAAACGGACAAATATAATCTCGGTCTTCCACACTTCAGAGAAAGAGACCAAAACAGAGATTGATAAGAAGTAAGGAAGAGCAGGGACGTGGTGGCGCTGTGGGCTAAACCACAGAAGCCTCTGTGCTGCAAGGTCAGAAGACCAGCTGTCGTAAGATCAAATCCACGTGATGGAAGGAGTTCCAGTCACTTGTCCCAGCTCCTGCCAACCTAGCAGTTCGAAAGCATGTAAATGTGAGTTGATAAATAGGTACTGCCACGATGGGAAGGTAACGGTGTTCCGTGTCTAGTCGCACTGGCCACGTGACCACGGAAACCGTCTACGGACAAACACTGGCTCTACGGCTTAGAGACGGGGATAAGCACCGCCCCCTAGAGTCGAACACGACTGGACTAAATGTCAAGGTGAACCTTTACCTTTTAAGGAAGAGTAAATGTCTCTGTGTGCATAATAAAATATTTAATTGTTCCATCTTCTACGCTGAGGTAGCTAACGATGGTAAATTACAGTGAGAACATAATAAAATTACATCTCAGATTACAGAAGGATAAAATAATAATAGTAGCCAACTGAGTCAGCTCCAAAAGAAATAATGCAGAAAGGCTTTTAATATAGTCAGCCTAACAATCTTCCCAGAACAGAAAGGTGTTTGCTACCTGACAGAGGTTAGCAATGGGAAGAGGCTTTTTCTCATGTTCTCACCAATTTCACCTCAGATTTCAGCGAGATACAGGTATACAGATCTAATCCCAAATATTCTCTATTGTGGCAGCACAAACAGGCCTTTAGGTTCTAGAAAAGCTTCTGGAAGATGCTTTTATTGCACAGTCATTCAACTTCATTCACAACATTTTACAGACGCCCCAGACAATGTCTTGTATTTGTAACCCACGTGGGCTTCCAACCACTGCTGCTTAAACTGCTCTTCTGAGCACAGAAAATCCAATAGAGAGGGGAAGGTCAAAAAGCTGTACAAGGACTTTTGACTGGTTGTGCTAAACACCCTCTACAGTGGGGTCTTGACTTAAGAACGGCTCAAGTTAAGAACATTTTGACTTAAGAAACACTCTCATAGGAAAATATTGACTTGACTTACATACTTAGATTTGAGTTAAGAACTAAAAAAAACCACGTGGGAGGCAGGGAAAGTGCAAAATTTGAACTTTCGGTTAACTGTTGGCCAGTGAAAAGGGTGCCTGTCTGCTTCCTCACTCCTCCCAGCGTTTTGAGAGTGGATTGGGAGTCTTCAGACTGCCTGGTACTGCCTGGACTGTATTTTCCCTGCCTTCCCTGAACCTTTCTTGACCTAAGAAAAAAAGAAACAAAATATCCCCCTCTAGTGGTCGAAGGCGGAATAGCAGCTTCCCATTAGTTTCTATGGACGGAAAAGAGCAGATACGGATCAAAGGGTTCTCAATGCATTCCTATGGGAAATGCAGATTTGACCTGAGACCTTTTTGACTTGAGAACCGCCTTCCAATACGGATTAAGTTCTCAAGTCAAGACCCCACTGTAGTTAGAAACACTCTGAAGGAAACTGAAACTCAAAAAGGGTACTTTTTAGGACTACAGTATATGTCTCCCTCAGTCTCCTATTTAGCATAGATAGTTCCTATGCTGTTTGTTGAATCCATGGAGTCACGCAAAAACTAACTTTGCTGAGTTCTAGCAAAAACAGTCGCATAGCAATTTCTACCTTAGCTAGAGATTCTGTCATTAGAAGGGTTTATTCCACGCCCCATCAAGCAGAAATTACAAAGAGAGAAAAATGTTCCTACTTTTATGAGGATGATGGGATGCGCTCCAGAATCAATCAGCAGCCAAACGCTTTCACCCTTTGTGTACAATCACACTGGTAGAGAATCAGATCTCTGATGGAGTGACGATTTTCCCCACCGAGCTTCTTCCAGATCTGCTTCTCTTCACTAGGGAAGTTCCATTTAGTCCTACGTACGTGGTGGCGCCTGACAAATTGTCTCCTCCTGATATGTCTTGCTTAAGAGTTTGAGCAAATTGTCTCACTCATGTTGCCCAAACACAGACATTGCTCTGTGTATTAGCCACATTACATACATAGACCTCCCCTGTTTTCCAACATTCTCTTTATGCTCTCTATTTGATGCGTGTGAACCACAAATGAGCAAGCTTCCTCTTGCTACATGGTCTTACAGGTGCTTAGTACATCTTCCCACAGATAATATTTCTGTCTTCAGGCTAAGCTTGAAAACTTACATATCTTGTTCTCATTGCATTTCCTCTTACCCCACCTGCATACTAACATCCCACCTTCTGTTCATATTAATGCATTTTAACACATTTCCCCTAATGCATGCATTTCTTAACACATTTTAGCTAATATATGCATTTTCCCTTGTTGACGAAAATGTTTCAACTGTACACATGTGTAGCTGCATTTAGTTTTAAAATGTATGCATTTTTGATGCAAACTTAATTTCTCTGAATGCTCCATAAGCATCTTAAATATGCAGATGATTGAGGCAGGTGCATTTCATTGTAAGAGGTCTTCCTGGGTGGTGTGGATGGTTGAGCATTACCTTCTGACGTGACCTTCAGTGTATATCTTGTAGTGTGTATCTTGTAGCTTTCCTTATTCTAATGTGTGGATCCGCTCTTAGCTCTTGGTTTAAAGATCCAGCTTGTTACACAAGGAAGAGGAACCCCCCACACTAGATTTTAGTCCAGAGGGAGCTTCACACAGCAGAAGATAGTCCTTCAAGTATTCTGTCTCTAAGATATTTAGATCTTTGGAAAATCACAGCCAGCATTTGGTATGTGTACATATTTGGGCCAAAATAATTGTGATGCTAAACATCTCACTTTCTGAATGCAGTTGTGAAAAAAAATTAAACCGTCTTGAGATGGCCAGCAACCTTCTGTTCCCAAAAATTTCAGGACCAAATCTTGACTTCTAGGGTGGCCCTGGTGAATACAAAAATCAAACCGTCTGTTATTTATAACAAGTTACTTCCAAGCCATGGTTGAGATTGGCCCAAATACTTGGGTCAAAGTATGAAGCTAAGGCCTTGAGGTTTATGTTTAGTGATCAGGGGCTAATGCAGTCCTGATTCAAAACAGGCAAGAAGAATCTCTGTTCATGTGCAGAGTATTTTCCTCTCATTTATGCTTAACTGTAGCTTGTACACTCAGATGCCTGCAGATTTGGGCAGAGAGCTTGCAAGCCAAAATACAGTGGTGCCCCGCATAGCGACGTTAATCCGTTCCAGGATTAACGTCGCTATCCGGATTCATCGCTATGCGGGGGGGGGAACCATAGGAACTCATTATACTCCGTTTAATGCCTTCCTATTGGGGAAAAACTCACTGCCATGTGGGGAATCCTCCATCCGGCCGCCATTTTCGCCGCCCAGTAAGCGAGGGCAGGGCGCGAAAACGCTGTGGGCGGCCATTTTGTTGACCCGGTGGCCATTTTGGAACTGCCGATCACCTGTTTGTAAAACATCACAATGCGAAGATCGGTAAGCAAAACGCTTTCCGATCATAGCAATGCAATGTTTTCCCTATCTAAAACATCGCAATGCGATCGCATTAGCGATAGCAAAAAATGCATCGCTATGCGGATTCATTGTTAAACGGCGCGCTCGTTAAGCGAGGCACCACTGTAGGTGGTTTCCTCAGAACACATTTTCAGAAAATAACAATGGGACATAGATGCACAGTTATGATGCTTCCCGCTTTCCTAACGTAGCAATTTAACAAAACTCCTGTAGTAGGCAAAGCTTTTCTCTACGCCAGGGAGGAGTTCACCTGTTGAATCCCTGAGGGTCAGGAAACACTGAAAGTGAGAGCAGAGGAACTCTGCTGGAACCAAGTTAGCAACCTGTGCATTGACTAGGAACCACAAAATGTACGGAGGTGCAGCCTTCTCTGAGCTGGCCATTCCTCTGAGAGAGTGGTAAATTAAATAGACCATTACTTGTACTCGGTACCACAAGAGAGACATACGCTACAAAACAGAAACCCTAGAAAAGGGTACCACAAAATATACGGAGGTGCAGCCTTCTCTAGGCTGGCCGTTCCTCTGAGAGAGTGGTAAATTAAATAGACCATTACTTGTACTCGGTACCACAAGAGAGACATACGCTACAAAACAGAAAGCCTAGAAAAGGGTATTTGTTTGGTCTTTTCCCAGATCTAGGCTGCAAAGGGATAAAAAGGGATAAAAGTCCTGCAGCTGCTAAAACTGCAAGCGCTGAAGCATCAAAAAGTATAAGGAAGCACCGTTAAGCGGAGGCTGCTGTAGGTCACTAGCAGGACACATATTTTGCATACCAAAGGTCCAAGGTTCAAATCCTTGCTATTTCAAGGTCTGACGACAGAGTGGCTTCTATCTGAAATCCATGAGAGTGACTTCCAGCTGTGGTGACGATTATGCTGGCATGCACAGTGCTTTATAGCAGCGGTCCCCAACCTTTTGCAGTCCGTGGACCAGCTGGGGAAGTCGGGGCAACCCCCCCTGCTCGCGTGCATGTGCGAACAAGCACTCTCTCTCTCTCTTTCTCAGGAGTGTGTGCACCCATGCGCATGTACAAACAGTGGTGCAGCGCTTGTATGGGCACGCTTGCGCTAGTGCACATGCATAAATGCTGGTGCGGCACTCACATAGGTGTGCTGGAGCGTGCACAAAGGCACAAATGGGCTGTGTGGGGGTGAATGCATGCGGGGGGCGGGAGGTCTGTCTCGGCAGCCCAATCCGGCTCAGGCCACGGACCGGTACCGGGCTGCGGACCGGGGGTTGGGGACCTCTGCTTTATAGGGTGTGGGAAGAGAGGTCTGTGAAAACATGGTCCATACTGAGTCAGCAATGTCTGGATGCTTCTGACTCACCCTAAGGCACCTTCCTAATACCTGCACATGCGCTTCTTGTGCTTCTCTTGCAGGTGGATTGGCAGCACTGATGTACACAGATACCGTTCAGACATTTGTCATGATCGGTGGAGCCTTCGTTCTCATGGGGTTTGGTGAGTCTGTCGCTTCCACCAGGGGCCACATCAGGATATCCCAAATTCTGTGTCTCTTCTGCAGCTTTCCCCCCAAAACTGGGTCGAGGTGGTCATATAAATAAAACATAGGAAAGTGGTGGGTGAGAAAATTGGTGTGCATGTGACATAAGAGAATTCATTCATTTCCAAGAGGGGGAGAAAGACCGATGGACCTGATCTCCCACTGATATGGGAGTCCTGCTGTAAAACACTTTATTTGGAATAACTAGAGATTAGAAGTTGGGGTGGACACAGTTGAGCTCTTGCAGAAGAAAGTTCCTCTCCTCTCACATCTCCAACATGACAACAGGAACCAGAATCTGGAAACCTTTCTTTTAGTCATAGTCCTGAAAATGAATGTTTCTACATTCTGAGCAAGAATTTCAACTCAAGGTTGAAGAAAGGATCATGTAAGATCTTAAGAAATAGGATTCTGCCCTTTGTTTCTGCTGGAAGAAGCCCAGGAAAGGTGATGAGGGAGACAGAAAGACTGGGAAGAGTAACGGGAGCTTAGAACGAAAATCAGAATGGAAAAGCAGTTTTTGGATCTCAGATTGCCTATCCCTTTCCTTTTCAGCCTTTCATGAGGTGGGAGGCTACCAAGGGATGTTTGACAAATATATGAATGCCTTTCCCAAGAGAACCATCTCTCCCACCCCGGACCTTTACAACATCTCAGCTTCCTGCTACCTCCCCCGCGAGGACTCTTTCCACATGATCAGAGATGCTGTCACAAGCGACCTGCCCTGGCCAACAGTGATCCTCGGTCTTTCTATCAATTCTGTCTGGTACTGGTGCAGCGACCAGGTAAAGGATGGGTGATGTTGAGGTGGGGTTCCTAACCTCTAATTACAGTAGGACCCCTTTATCCATGGGATCGGTATCCACAGATTCACCTATCCACGATCTGAAATTTAAAATATTAAAAGGAAAACATTCAGAAAAACTATTTTCACATGTATTGCCAGAACTGACCAATAGAGGGAGCCAGACACGATGCTATTAATATTTGTTAGTGAAGAATACACAGCTCTGCTGCTCACTAGTGGCCAGTTCTGGTAATACACATGATTTTTTTCTGATTTTCATTCTTTACCATGCTATCTATCTATCTATCTATCTATCTATCTATCTATCTATCTATCTATCTATCTATCTATCTATCTATCTATCTATC